CACAGCGTGGGGCTGGGGGTGGGCTTTTCCTCAGTTCTGCTCACGGAGGAGAGGAAACGTCCCATAACTCACCGATTAATTACCCTCCCGTTAGCCACAGGCCCGTGCCGGCACCTCTCCCCCCGCTCCCCCGGGGAACCGGCAGCGTGTCCTGGAGAACGAGGGGCAGCAGCTCCCCGCCGCGGCACTAGGGGATGCTCCGGGTTTACTTCTGCAAACAACTGTATTTTTGAGTTTTAAAGGATTTGGTAAATCTGTACCAAACTGTAAAATTATTTCCTGAGGGCACTTAAACGTTATTCATTCACCGTTGGGTTTACAAATACGCGTTACTGATCTACAAAGGCAGTTGTAGCAACAAAAGAAACAGGAAAACTAAAACTGTTTCAAACCCCAAGAGACAAGTTGTGGGGAAAAAAAAAATTTGGGGAAGAAAAAAAAAAATCTTTTTGGGACACAAAACTCATCTGAATACCCTTACTTGAATAATCACGTTCCATACTGACTGATGGATAGGATACAAATTTCACAGCCAGTTTGCAGCAGCAGTTGCACCGCAGCAGCACCTGTCTGAACACAATTGCTTTTTAGGAACAAATTCAATAGGCTAAAAATTACCTGACTTTTCCTGCAGGAAACAAATATCATGTTACTCTTTTGTAACTCTCACTAGAATGCTCTAATTTACTTTTTCTTCATCATCCGGTCATTAAAAGCAAACAAAGTGCATTCAGTTGCAAACCTTAAAAAGAGATCCAAACCCAGGACATTAGATCCTATCTTCCATCTGACTAATACATCAATATCTTGAATTATTTAAATCTTAACTGAGGCAAATACATTAATAAAAAAAAATCACATTTAAAGCATTTATTTTGAAAAATAAAATACAAAAGATCATTGAATTGTAATTGTACATGTAATTTATCAACTTTTTTAAATAAAAGATATTTAACAATTTCCACATGTGAATAAAACAACTGTTCCACCAAAAATCTTTTAGGACAAGCACAGACCACTCTTTTGAAAGCTTCATACATTTAAAACCAAACTGCTACAGTAAAAAAAAAAAATCCTTTAAGATGGAGTTTTGTAATTGAGACAGAATAGCAATTTCTGAGACAGCCATTGCTTTGAATTTTTTAAAACCTTAAAAAAATAATTGTGCGAATGTAATACGGTTCTACATTAACATCAGTGATTTTTTTTTTTTTAAACAGTTTTACATGCGCTCACAACAGCAAAATTTTGAACAAAAACAGTATGAAAGAAATGGGGGAGAAAATTCTGAAAAAAGCAGGCCATGAGCAATACACCTCACTGGTCTCAGCGCGACAGTCCTTGTAAGATCATTTCCATTGAAAAGGCAGCAGTCTTTTTTTCTGAAGAAAAAGAAAAATAAATGTTTGAGCTTTCAATGTAATATTCTGGTTTTATCCCTGAAAACATTTCATAATTACAAATAATGCCTAGTGAAGAGTAATCATCATTATCTCAGTAGGTGAAAAGTCACTGTCAAGCCTCAGCCACTAAAAACTTCATTCCTGTAAGGATTATGCCTGCCTTTGCTATCATTTATCATTAGAGTTACTTCTTGGAGAATTTAAATATATTTCATTTCCACTTACATTCAAAACACTTGTGAAAGTGGGCTGAGTTTACATGCTGACAGGGTCTCTCATGAGAATGCACCAGTGGTACTTACTGCTGGGAAGTTAACAGACTTGGTTTCTCAGAAACGACAGCAGCTTTAGGTCAAAATATTGCAGTTTTAAATACATTTGTCAGAGGTAAGTGGAAAAATGAAGGAGATGGTTGAGTCATTTCAACGCTGAGTATATGGAAAGATTATGGTTTATCGATTTCCGAATGAAGGCCTGCAATTAATCTTTGGAAAACTTTTACATCCATTATTTCTAATTGGTATGATGCTTTTGGCTATATTTAGGGCTACAGAGCGAGCAATATTTATGGCCACATAATAAATATCTATGTTGGGTATATTCATGTGGCATGTTGCTTTTGGTTATATTTAAACTAGATGCATTTTGCCATCTTTTGTTGTCAAGCTAGAACATCTGATAATCCAGGATTTTTACTTGTCAACCATGTTAATACAGTAAATCTTCGTTAACTAGTCCGGAATTTACCGAGTTCCCTGCACAATCTTGCCATTGTTAATTCAACAACTAAAATGCAGTTTATTGAAAATACTGGCTATGGGACATATTAAAAGCATTTTACACAAATCAGCTCATCTTTAGCTGTTTATCTAGAAAGGACAATTGATTTAAAAACAAAAGACAAAGGCAATTAAGAGTCATCTTTAAGGTTTCACTATTTTGTTAAAAAAGGGACTATTTTGTTAACACTATTTTGTTAAAATCAATCTGTTGTACAAGTATGCCATAGTGCTGAAAGACACACAGATACTACAATGAACAAGAAACTCTGCTGAAGAATGCCTGGACATGTAGTGGTATAGTTTTATATAAATTCCTTCCAATTTCAAGCTCCAAAACAGTGCTGGCAATCCAGTGGCATGGCAAATACTGCAAATTGTGATGAGCCACATAGAACTGCATTGTGGTTCTTAAAGCATATGAACTACGCTTTTGTAGCTCACACCACTAGGACTTACCTCAATGTGATTTTTACAGATTCTGAATCAAGATCCGTATCTTCGAATTTTTCTTACTCAGAATCTTACATGGACTTTAAAAAAAATAATAATCACCTTAACTAAATCAAGAAGAGCATATGAGAGGACTGCATGCTCTTTTATTACCTTCTGTGCAAGAAATGTCCATTGCATCTTCTATTCCATAGGTTCAGTCTGTCAAGTAAGTAATTAAAATGAAATTAGTGATTTTACATTGGAAGAAAAGTATCATTATGAGCACCAATGTTTGTTAGCTGCTTAGTTACATTAATGTTATACTAAGGATAAAATTAACATAAAGGACAACACTATTGGCATCAATTTCAACTCCAGTGTCCGTTTTTATGACTTAAGCAATATTCTCTTACTATTTCACAAAGCTTATTTTTTTGCTTTTTAGATGATCTTTACTTTGGATAAATCTGCTCAGAGTTTGGTGAATACTGTAATCATACCAAGCTAACTGTATAAACCCACCTCCTGAAATTTAGCAGAGTCCCATTTTGAAACCTCCCTATCATATGGATTGAAAGAGGACATTTGCTAGAAATAGCAGACCAAGTTCTTTTGATGTATCACAAGATAATTGGAAAATACAAACAGCATAATTTAACAGATACTGTAGGCAGATCAAGGATCAGTTATTTTGCTAGCACACTATCTATACACAGTGTGATAAATTTTAAAGATAGCTCATCTCCCTGCATTTTCCAGAAATCCTTATCAGCAATATTTAATTTCCTTCAGTTCTGACACACCCTGTGCTTGCAGCCATACATGCTGCAATTTTATCTGTAAGGTTGTAGACAATCTTCAAATAACCACAACAATTGCATTTGAAAGCGTTAGAAATAACTACAGCACACTTTCTCAATACAATTTGCTGACAATAACTTTTAAGCAGCACACATTTAAATAGTTGTCTTGCCGTTAAGCTGCATAGACATTTTGGCCAGCAGTCGAGAGTGAACAATGCTGTGAGCAACAGCACATATAGCTGCGTGGTGGCAGGTTCTTAATGGTTTTCCATTAGCTGAGCACAACTTGCAAAGCATGAGCACTAACTGTTCAAAGGGTGAGTGCAGGCAAACATCCAGTAAAAGAGCAAAGCCCACATCAGAGATCACACAAAGATTTATCAGAAAGATTTGGTGTCCACAGCAAAAAAGTTATATTCTGAAAACATGAAACAGACACTACGGCTATTCGACTTTACTGATCCACGTTCATTTTATCTTGCCACGAGACTTCCTTTCTACTGTCTTCTTTGGCTGGAACAAAAGAAACCAATTTTCCTTTTTAATCAATTTTCGTTTGAATGAATGGAATAAGTCAAAATGCTTTGTTTGCATGGGCTAGATTCTCCTGTGTATTCTTCAATCTCTACATGTAACAGAAGTCATAATCACAGAGTCTTTTCCTAATATTGGGGATCCAAAGTAAAGAAAGCTTGTGCTCATCAGGTTTTTCTTTTAAACATAAAGACATTGCAAAATATTTTACTTTTGATGGGCTACTTACATTCTAAATAAACTTCTGCACTGTAGGTATCATTAAGGATTGGAAATCAAGTACAAATAGTAATGCAAGCAGATACACACAATTCTGGGGGCAGAGTGGCCCTAAAAATGCTTTCTCTCCCAATTCTGCAATGCTATACTCCTGCATATGCAGGAGGAATCAAAAAAAAAAAAAACCCCAAGTATTTTTCTACTTAGCTTTACTTGAACATACCCCGAGACAGTAACTGTGATGAGCCACTTCCTGTTTTTTGAATCAAAGCACAACGTAGAGAGCACTTTAGATGGCATTTAGACGTTTACCATCAATTATACAGCCTACAAAAATTGGTATTTTTGAGCCTAGTTGAGCAGCTCTCACCCAAGAAAACAAAACCAATTGCTACATGTTCTACCTATTTCATATGTATTTTATTGCTTAAATGAAAAAAAAGTATTTTTGTTATTTCTCTGAAAGGTGAATTAAATTATTTGCTCCTGTCTAGATCGTCTGCTCTGGTTTTTCATGGCTAGATTAACAGAGCTTAAATCTGCAAGGCTATGGGACGGAGAATTAATTTCACTACACACTGGAGAGAAAAAAAGAAAAAAACACACACACAGAGAAGCCCTTCAAGCTACTGAAATGGAGCACTCCAACAGGCAGCTCCATGGAACAAGTCTGTTCATCTTGTCTGCTCCATTACCTTCAGGAGACACAGAAGAGCTGCCCAGCAGCAAGGGATATCATCTTCCAAACTCAACTCCTATGGGCTAGAGGTTACAGCCCATGTCTATGTGAGGAAAGGGCATGAGGTTGGAGCATGCCTCCCACACAGGCACACTGCTGGGGGCAAAGTATCAAGGCATCCTGCAGTTTAAGAGAGCTCCATGATAACGATTTTGCTTTTTCAATCGCTATTGCAAAGATTAGGTCCCTTGGGTAGCTGATGCCAATTAATAGCATTGGAAGGGTACCAGACGATGAATTCTCAGTAAAATCTGAAGTTCAATAGCTCACTTGATTATTAAATCAAGACACCATCACTATCCATGGATGAACTGGTTTTGTTTGTCTGATACAGTAGTAGTTCTTTCAAAAAGTCTCTCGTTACTTATCTCTGCTCTCTATACTATACTTGCTTTAAACCTTTCCATACAAGGCAACAAAAGATAAAGTTTCTCTACAAACAGCAAACTTTGCAGTTTGCAAACTTTCCTTGAGTTCCACAGCAATATTCAGTCAGCTCAGGTTTACAAGCACCATACTGTTACACTGGAGTTAAACAGGGACTCAGAAGAGGCTTGGGACTGCCGAGTGCAAAAGCACTAGAGATTCAATCTCACAGACAAGCTATTCTCTTGTTATCTAGTCACCTATTCTCTTACAATCAAAGAAGAAAACTCCAATTTATGAAGAAGTGGTTTAAAAAGACTAGTTGCATACTAACTTGCTGCTACACCCGCAAAAAGGAAACTAATCCAATACTGTACCTGTGGCACTTCTTTAAGAAAGTCAGGAAGCTGAAATTCACCTTTATAGACCTGGAAAAACAAAACCCAATACATTACTCAAAGCTAGCATTCACTGCTGTTTGAAATGCTAAAGAGCTTATTAAAGGGAAGAAAAAAAAAAAAAAAAAAGGATTTTTTTGGGTTATTAGCATCCAGTAACACTAAAACAGATCTACCTAAATTGAGCACAATCTATTTGTAAAAGCAAGTTTTATTCCTAAGGCTTGGTCATCCGAAGTAGTTCTACAGCTGTACACTCAGTCCCAAGCTTGCTCTGTACTCACTCTGACCACGTTTCCATGAAAATGGTAAAACTATGTAACTCATATTACATTTCAGGTTTGCTCGAATTATTAAGTCCTGTGCAATCCATTCACTATGCTTTTAGAAAAAGATTTTTAACAGGATGATTAAATACACTAGGAGTGAGTTACTACAATACTTAATTTTGAAGTTTATCTATAACAAATCTGTTGCTTCACGTTTTAGCACCTTCAATAAAGTAAGTTCCTTTTGGGCTTAATTACAATTCACAATTAAAAGATTCTCCATTTAAGGTTTTTCCGAAAGAGCTACCTGTCATAATCTCATGGGCTGTGTCAGAACTGATATGCCAGCCAGGCCACAAACAACATTCAGTTCTCAAACATTTATATTTTACAGTTAAGAATCTCAACAAATGTCACATCATAAAACATTTTCTGACACGTCACAGTATTCATTATGTACAAAATATATACTATTCACACAAACAGAAGTATCACACATTGAACAACTGATCCCATCTTACTATGCTGTCAAAGGAAAGTTCTGTTAGTTTTGATGTAGTTCATCAAGACAATGCGACTACAATCAAAGTCTGACTAACATAACAACTTCGGTTTCAATGCTTTTACACATATCTGTTGCTGTCAAAGGAAAGTTCTGTTAGTTTTGATGTAGTTCATCAAGACAATGCGACTACAATCAAAGTCTGAAAATGCTAACAACTTCGGTTTCAATGCTTTTACACATATCTGTCCCTTTATTCTGGTGTAATTTTCAGGTAACAGGAAAGTTTATACATTTGCTTTAATCCTTAAAGATACACAGATGCCACTATAATAGGTACAGATATACTACTAGCAATTTTCCCCAAGTACTCTGTGTCAGACCTTGAGTCACTTGGCAAACACACTGCGTGAGATCAGGTACCTAACTCCTTCCCCCACAGGCTGTAACCACACATCTAAAATCCCCAGCTCTTGCAGGGAGAACACAGGGTTGGGTAAGGCTGAAGTTTTCCTCTATTATTCTTATACCATTTGGTCATTAATTTGCTTTTCGTCTACATCAATGTAAAAAAAAAAAATCAACAGTACAATCCTTTTCTGTTTGGACTAGGTGATCATTGTAGGTCCCTTCCCACTAGAACAGTTTATTCTAAACTAATAGACATATAGATTTAATAGCTTCATATACCAACACAGAAGAGCTCCACTTACTAGTAGGGCTGTCACAAAGTTAGTCAGCAACTCCTATTGTTATGAATTTCTACAACATTTGTAGCTTCATTACCAGCTTGACTTCATGAGAGTCCAATCTTTTACAGCATAATGCTAATTCTGAAACAACACTGTTTGGAGAAAGAGCAAGCAACAGATATCATCAAACATACCAACAGCCACACCAAACGAGTGTTTCCACTATCTAACCAATTAGGAAATCAATTGGCAATGTATTGTCTTCTCTCTAGAGGATCCTTCTTAAAAAGCTGTTTGCTTCTGAGATTGAACTGGAACCAATTCCAAAGAGGGAGGGGGAATATTATTTTTATTTTTTCTTTCCCAAAAGGTATAATTGAAGAGTTTTACTACCCTTTCTACTGAACCAAAAAGACCAAACAGCCTAATGTCATGAGTTCTTTAGTCTTGTGTAGCTGTAATCACATAAAAAAAAAATCAAAAGCCACAAACCCACTTTGAAAAAATTCTCTACAGCCATAAAATGGAAATGGGGCTACTCTAAAACCTCAAGAGTTGCACTCTCTGGTTTGCAAATTGCGTCAAAGGAAGATGATGCAGGAAGTCAAGGGATGCTTATTAACAATATCCATTTTCTCTGCTTTCCTATGAATAGATGACCAGAATATAAAGACATACACATTTTGTCAATATACTGCGGTGGCCTAGGACTGCAGCTGAGTCAGCTCAGAACCTCCTGTCCGTACGACGCCTCACCCCACAGCAGGCCTGCGGCATTAAACAATATGACTCACGTGGTGCGGACTTAGGAGCTGGCAGTTCTCATCACTCTCTATCGCTAGGCTAAACACATCCAAACAACACGGCTTCACTAAGTCCCAACGTGAGAGTAGGAATTATTATACACATACATTGCGGAACTCTGTTCCTTCTGATATGCCATGTTTTAGATAAAATAGAAAGGCTGAGTCAAAATGATAGGCACAGCTCTCATTTATATTCAGCCAGGGGGTAATGTCATTCCCATGGAAACCTTAATGAAAGCCACACTGGTCAAAAATTCAGTGTGTGGCTTACTGGAGCTTAGATAGACTATAAATATTTATAAGTGAAGAAGAGTATTTCATATTTTCAGCTTTTAACCAAGCCATTAAAATGCAGACTATGTTCTAAAGAGCAGCAATGGAAGTTACAAATCAACAATATTATCACATCAAAAAAATGCTACAGATCAACCTAGGCAAGGTTCACAAGAAAAAAAACAGTATCTTTTATTAGACTAGTGCTGATGTTAGAAGAAACAGACAGGCTTCTTCACCTCTTCTGGCAAACCACTACAGTCATTATCCAGGAATTCCGAAAACCAGTTAATACTGATGATGATAGTACATTGCAACTGATTCCGAACCAGAGTGACCAAAACCATGTTCGTCTCTCTGGAAGCCTCCTCCTCTCCTTCTCATGTAATCCTGACTTGGTCTAATTTTTATATTGCATATATATATATATATCTGCTCTAAAAACCTTACCAATGTAATGCCCTTTGTAGGAACAGTATTTGCTCCTAATAAGCATCAATAGATGAATATCCTTGGCTATCTACTATCAGCAACATTAAGAAAAATAATGCCTAATGTCATAGCCTGGAAAGAGAAGAAAACATTTCAGGGGCATTTGATATTATGTTCACGTGAAATATCACAATTTACACAGGCAAACCTAACCAGCGACAGGCCCAAGAACATTAGGTTTAACACACAAGTGTGCCTAGTTTTTGTTCAGAACTGACACTATCTAGAATGCTGGTTTTGTCAAGATTGAGACTGCATAGAAACTAGTTTAAAGCAGTTCCAAAACCAGTAAGTAGTTCCTTTTGAATCAAAATCCAGGGATCAACTGCAATCCAGAAATTCTAAAAACAATGACTCCATCTGCAGCCAAAGAAATTAAGAGGTTTCAGATTCAAAATTCGTTTCTGACCAATTTCTAAGTCTAAAACACATTATTCAGAGAGTGGCAGCAGCAAGCAGAAGCAGGACACTGGAATGATTTCCAGGCTAAGCAAGAATTCAGTAAAACTGAGCTGAACTGCTGTTTAACATTTCTAAGGGAATTATTTTGCAAGTCCAAATGTCTTTCCAATGGGGGGGGGGTGTAAACTGAAGTCTCTGTCAGTTTGTTGTTCAGTGTTGGCAGTATTCAAGCTGTTCTATTAAAAAAAACCCACCACCACAAAACAAAAACACATTCTTCTAGCCAAACTAAATGCATGTTATTCTTAAAAAGAGATCAGAAAACAAGTTCCACATCCAGTTGTCTGAGAAAACCCTTGTAAGTACTCAAGGAAAATTTAAGAACCTAAGTGTAAGTCAGAAGTGTAACCTATACCTCATCTTTATAGTAGATTAAAGCACTCCTTTCCTTTTCACCCACTTTCAAGCCTGGTTTAGAAAGAGTCACATTATGTTTGGTCAGTTCCACTACACAGAGATAATGGGTCTTTTTGTCTAAAAGTTAGTCTGCAACTACGTGTACTTGGGCTTGGTAGATTTTCAAAACATCAAAGTTGCAGAGTACAAGGCTATCGATGTTTAATTGTCAAAAAAATAATAAAACCAGAAACACTGGCAATACCAGACCAGAACCCCTTTCTAGAAACTGCACAGTACATGGAGGTACCCTCATCTTGCTCTTTCAGACCTTCCTTAACTTTTAAGGCAGCTTACAAGGCTTAGACAATTCTTCACCTCTTTGTTGGAACTGCCAAGAAAGGGGACATCTGAGTTGTAAATATTTACCTAGTAGAAACAACACAGAGAGCAAGATTTTAGACAGGCCTATGAACGTCTGCCAAAAGGCAGCTTGCAGCTATACCAAATTTTGTATTTTGCTTGTTAATATGTCTGTACATCTTACTAATCAGGCACCTGCATAGTTGTTTGTTTGGGTTTGTTTTTTTTTTTTTAAAAGATATCAGCACCTCTGGAGAAAAACAATGCAGTTGGCAATCTACATGTTGGAATAAGCACGCACTAAAGATGGTATTAAACACATTTGAAGGACGCTGAGAAAGTCTGTGCTGTTGGTGGTCACAAGACAGATGAAGTAAAACCCCCGATTTTTGGTTTAAGTATCAGAGAAAACATCCACAAAGCCAAATGCTTTATGCTTAACTTATGTTAACCAGCGTAGAAACACACTGCCTTTTTTCTAAGCTGCTTGAGCAGCCCCTCATTACAGCATGTCTCCACAATTACACATCTTTGACAACACGAGTAATTATTCTCATGCATTACTACAAATATACTTCGCACCCTTTATCACAGATTGTTTCTGTCTTTAAAACCTCAAATACAATGTCTTGAAATCACGATTGTCATGGACATCTCACCTCTTAACAGCAGGAGACATTCCCTCACAATTTAAAACAGGCACGAAATAAGAGTTAATAATAGAACTCTGTTTTTTTCCTCTAGATGTTACTGCAGAAAATACCATCAACAGAACATAAAACAGAGGTAGATAACAGCTTTCGGATGTGATTAGAAGAAGCCACATGTATTTAAA